GGACACTCTCGGTTTTCTTACTGATTTTCCCAAGCTTCCCGTTTGAAAATACGCATCGAACAGACCACGCACGAGATGGAGCCGAAAAAATTAGTGAAGTTTGAAGATAATAAAGGAGAATGCTCGGTATTTTAATGGTAGCGTTGCATTAGCCAAGTATCATCGCTATCTCATCTGCACGGCAACCAAATACTCTTCTTGATCAGTTGAGAGCAAGAAAATTTACTTTTACCCACTCTAGCTTAATTTAGATTGTTCTGTGATGTTTTTTTAAAATTTTTAGTGATTTCTTTAGGTGTTGGTCTGCCGATTCCGAAAATACCCAGTGGTAACACCTACAAATATGCGCCTGAATTCTACGTTCCTGCCCTAGTGCCAGATTTCGAGATATTGGGTCGGTTGAAAGTGGATCATTTTCTTAAGCTGGAAATTGGTTTTAATCGCCACCAGAAGACCAAACACGCCATTTGTCTGATAAAGGTAAGACAAGAAAACTGGAAAGTTTATTTTTTGATGAAATTTTCCGAACAGCTTCATTTCGTGAGCAGATGAAGGCGGTGAAATATCAGATTTCTCTTGTCCAGTTTATCCATTGCATTTTTTTCAAAAATTCTGGCCATTTGATTGCTTAATTTCCTTGCAGATTCCAATTCTCATAGGTACATCGACCGCGCCAGAACGCCCTCCTCCACCATCAGACAACGATGCCTGGTGGACAAAAGTCGCTTCAGATTCTGCAGCTGGAAAATCCACCGAAGGTGGGGCTGAAGGTGAGATATGCTGCTGTTTCATCTTACAGTTCGCTTCGAGCAAATGAATCCCGCAGATTTGTGATGAAGCTTAGACTCAATTCAAAATCTGGTGAGTTTATCGGGGCAAATATCGCTGGTTAAACTGCGGCTTGTTTCCCGACCTGATCAACTTTGACCATGTTTTCAGAAGCAAGCGCTTATCTCCAAATATTCTAACGGGAAATTTACGATTTCAAAACATCGAATTTTAAAGTCTCGTTTACTGAATCCAAATTCACCATTGCAGATTGTCTCGAGCCATGATTTTGAAACTATTTTCAATGAATTTCACAATTTAAACCTGGCTGAAAACTCGCTAATTTCAGGTGAATCGTTGGAGTCAGGCTATATGCCCAACGCTTTC